GAGGGCTAACCCTGGCATTTGCAGATTCACCTCTGGTGAGTGCTCATGAGCTACCGGCCTGAGGTCCACCAGCTCTGAAAACCCAGCGAGCCAAAGGCAACAGAGCCCACCTCCAGCACCCCGCTGCCTCGCTGTCCCCTGAGCAAAATTACCACGATTCATTAATCTAAAAATAACAACTACATGCTAGTAATAAAAATATGATGGTTTTTTTCATCTTGGGAAGCCTCTTTGAATAGGTCCCCCCAAATGCACCAAATCATTTACTTAATCTTCATGTGAAAATATATATAAGAACCAGCCTGGTTGAGCATCGACCTAGGATCCAGGGAATCGGGGTTCGATTCCCGGTCAGGGCACGTGCCCCAGNCGGTTGGGTGTGGCTCGGCGGTTGAGCATCGACCTAGGATCCAGGGAATCGGGGTTCGATTCCCGGTCAGGGCACGTGCCCCAGTTGCGGGCTCGATCGCCAGTTGGGGGAGTGCAGGAGGCAGCTGATCAATGACTCTCTCACCGTTGATGTTTCTATCTCTCTCTCCCTCTCCCTCTCCCTTTTTCTCTCTAAAATCAATAAAGATATATTAAAAAAAAATAGAATATATAACATTTAAGCCTTTAAATGGTGTGACTATCACATATAATATACCTTTCCTACCCCTGCACCATAAGGAGAGAGCCTTCTAACATTTGACATCGATCAGCTCAGTGAACTACACTCCTCTCTAGTCTAAGCTGGAAAAAACTTGTCACTCTCCTAAGATTACTCTCGAGAGTCCTGGCTGAGAGCGAGGGCGTTCTCACCCCTCTGGTCGGTCTGCTCTCGGTGGCGGTCACCGCCTGCGCCTCTGAACTCGCTCACCAGCTACAGGTCGAGATGAGGTTTCAGGAAATGAAAACCCGATCCCACTGGCGGCCTTCCCAGTCGAGGAGCCCTCTGAAAGGGAGCGAGGAATCAATGCTCGCAATCCAGGCTTCCTATTCACTCAAGATCCCTAACAGCGAGACAAGGAAGCCGGGGAGGAAGGCACACAGGCAGCCACGGCCACGAACTGTCCAGCGAAAGCCCGGGGACCTATCCTGTCTCATCCAGCGGGCCCGCGGCCCACAAAGCCTTAGACCCAAAACCACCAAGGGTGCCCAGATCGGTCACCGGGACTTTGGACTAGAAGATGAGAGTTTGCTGCCTATAATTACCTCTGGCCAAGAAGAAGGGATGGGGGATGTTCTCCAGATGGGACGATGGGACAGGGTCTGAAAGGAGACCCGGAGATCACCTTCAGTCGGCTCTTCTTCCAAAGGGGTGTCCACGCCCACACGAGATAGGGAATCTCTGCTTTCTGAAAGGAGCCAGGCAGCCGACAACACTGTGCCTCGAATGTTCTTTCCTGTCACTTAAAAGTCACTGATGATTGTTCTTCCTTCCCCAACACCAGCCTCAATGATGCATTTTCCTTTAAGTGACAAAAAAGCAAATGTGCCTCAAAGCTCCGGACCCCGCCTTTTGTCGGCCACATGAATCACACAACAGACCACGGTCGTTTTGGTCCACTGTGGGCCTTCCTTTCAGGGAACTGAGTCACACCTCAGTCACCTGTGACCGAGCCGTAAAATCCTGTTGCACCTCATGACATAATGAAGCCTTCCTCAAACAAGAACAGTCTCTTCTCCTAGTCTCTTCCTTCTGGACAGCTCAGCAAACATTTGCTAGTGGCCAATTTGGAAAACCACCAAACTAGTGCAAATGAGCTCAGTATCACAGGTGCCACCTCCCATCCAGGGGGCAGGGGTGTTCCCTATAACGAAGGCTTCGCCGACTTCACCACGTGCCCCCATTCATGCATCTGCTCCACCCAGAGCTCCACTGGGTATCTTCGAGGGGCTGCAGGTGTGACATCTGATGAGGCCCACCTTCCTAGACCTCAGATTCTGTGTCCCTTCTTCAAACTCCAAAGCAAGCAACAGCAGTAGACACTCCCTCTCCAATGAACAAATGACCCACGAGAGTCCCTATGCCTCAACTGCTGCACAAAATCATGAGATCCAAAAAGATGCTCTCATACCTGCTGGGGACAGCACACTGTTAAAGTTACAGACCGGTGGCTTTAAAGAGCAGTTCAGCACAAACAGTGTAAGGCAATCAGACAAATGGCACACACAGTGATGAGAGAGGGACAGAGAGGGAGAAACAGAGAAAGAGGAGAGACAGACACCACCTCAGAGGCACTACCTACATCATCCAAGTTTCTTTTTTCGATGAATGCCTCATTGTCCCAACAAACTTTTTAGGGCAGGAATTGGGTGTGGGCCTTTTTTAGTTTTAATCTAGCTTGTATCATATAAAGAAACCGTTCCAATATTTTTTGAGCTCCAAAGGCCAGATGAGTAAGATGTAAGGTAACAGTGGGCCAGCTGGAAAACCCTCACCTAGACGAGCCCCACAGGTCCAGCTGAGCGAAACTGAGTGCCCGCTAACGCGACAGCCGGGTCCAGGCCTCTCCAGGAGGGAGCACGCAAAGGCCACTGGCTGGGGTTTGGAGAGCTTGCCCTAGCTCATCTGCGAATGGGCATAATAGGCAGGGCTGTGGCAAGGATGAAGTCTTCCCAGTACCAAGCCCAGAATGTGATGAGCCCCACCAACAACACAGTGACAGCAACTAGGATTACCTTCCGGTGTCTAAGGGGCTGTATGTGGAAAAGGGACTCCCTTTACTCCGCGTAAATCCAAAGGACAAAACCAGGATCCAAGTGCTCAGAAATATCAGACAGCGAAACTGTGTTTCCAACAGTGAAGAAAGTTCAAGTGTCAACTGGGTCACCTTGGAAAGGACAGTTCTCAAACCTAACAATGTTTGACCCAATCTTGGAAGATCATTACTCAAGAATATTCTAGAACAGAACTGGGCGTTAGCTGGGAGGCCAGACGTGATGATCTTTTCTTCTGTGTGGTCAGAAACTCGAAGAAGGAGCTCCAAGCTCACCGTCCCTAGAAAACCCAGATCAAGGGCTGAAATGAGGTCAGGTGCGGTGCCCTGCCAGGACGGCCTCTTGGAAGACAATGACCTTAAAGGAAACCTGACACTGGGTCTCAAGCCACATACGGACCAGCAAAAATAAAGACCGGGCTTTGTTCCATCTTCCAATTCAGCTCTCACTTGGAAGTATTTTTCTAGCCCTGGCCGGTGTGGCTCAGTTAGTCGAGCGTTGTCCCATGCACCAAAGGGTCACATACTGAAAAGAAAACATACTGAAAACATACTGAAAAGAAAAAGGAAGGAAGGAAGAAAGGAATTTTTTCTAACAAACGTCCTCTGGACTGCTATTACCACGCCCTCTCCTCAGCCCTCCTCAAGCACTAATTCTTCGTCTATTCTGCCCTTGTGTGAACGTCCAGACTTCAGCAGCCACAACCGCAAACATGTAGTGCCCTCCAAACATTTCATCTTTCTTGTCGCATTTCTGCACTGCACCCCCTCTAGCACGCACGCCGCACCCCATTGATGCCGGATCGCTTACCTCTGTCTGTACACACACACCAAATGCCTGCAATTGTCACCTGGAGCAAGTCTCTTGTTCTCCCCCCTGACTCACCTCTGATAAGAGCAAAAGCATGTCTTCGGGTCACCTCCCTTCTTCAAATACCACAGTATACCACCCACGTGACTGTCCACGGCCCCACCAGAAAACCAGCGTCTGCCTCGCTCCCAGGGTGCTTCTGCGGCCTGTGACATTTTCTCCATGTCCCAGTTCCTCTCCTAACCACTGTCCAGGTCCCAAGCTGGGGTCTTCTTCCTGCCTGACCTCAGACCCTCCCCTAGACGGTCTCCCCAAACAGCTTGTGTGATCAGCCCGGCCCTCTGCTAGTCTCGGGGATTTCACATATAGCTGGGGCCAGGATGCTCAATGGCATAGGGGCACCATGTGTCCCCTTTCCTTATGCCAGGTCCCACTGCCCTGGGGACTTGCAAGCCAGAGCTCCCCAAGGTGGCCTCTAGTGCTGCCGTACCCCAAGCCAGGAAGGGGCTCACCAAGCCCAGCCCAGTGCAGCTCTCAGCTCTTAGGTCCATCACACCTTTGCAGCCCATGCCCAGAGGCCACCGGACCCGTCCCGGGCAGACCCAATCTCAGGGGTCCCTGGCAGGCACCCTGGAAAATACGGAGGGGAGAGGAAGAGCAGCAATGGCTCAGCAAGGGTGGGAAGATCCAGAGCAGTGGGAGAGAACAGAGGAGAGAAAGCCCTGGGGCCTTGAACGCCCTTCCAGACCCTGCTCTACACTCCTCCCCAGCGGGGACGGCTTCCAATCCTTAAGCAACCCAACTGACCAGTTGATAAACTGACCCAGTCACCTTCCCTTTCTGCTTCCATGCCCAAGGCTTAGACTCAAGAGGTAGTTCCCAAACCTGGAATTTTCTGGAAGGTGGAGGAAAAAGACTACCTGCTCCCAGAGTCTGATGCAGCAACGGGAACCAAGGCAATGATCCCATATATGTTACAAAGCCCCCCAGGACTCCTGCCACAGGCTTAGGTGGAAAAGAGGGAGAGTCACAGCCCGGGGTCCTGGTTTCTGCTTCCTGGTGGTCAGCCCCCCACCCCAGGGTGGACCCAGGGGAACAGTCAGCGAGCGCACTTACAGGATGACGATTGTTACCGGCATACTGTCCTGTGTGTGTGACTAGGCGTCACCGTCTATAGGACATTTCACCAGCTTGTCCCTCGATGCCGCATCACCCAAGGAGGTCGGCCCCACTGAGGAGTGCCAGGCACTCTGACGGGCCACACTGGAAGGGGGCAGCACATAGCCCAGGTGGGGCTGCGCTGGGCCTCTGGTCTTAGGTAAGAGGGACATTAGCCTGGCCCACAAGCAAGCCCCTTGCACATGAGGATCCCCAGGCCTTGTCTCAGCTCCCCTTTCTCCTCTCCACTGGCTTTCACACATTCAAACCTCCTGGAGGAAAGCAAGGGAAATGACATGTGCCGAACCCAGAGCCAGATGGCCTGCCCTCATCCCCAGTTCTCCCTACAGGACCTTGGACAAGTTATCTCACCTTTCTGCCTCAGTTTTCTTCCAATTGCATTAAACAGGGAAGGAATGATGCCTGGCTAGAAGAAAGAGCCACGTCCATGGTTTCTGTTATTCTAACACCCATTGTGGCCAAATTTGCTCTTACAGTTAAGGTGACTGGCACAGGGCGAGGCAGCCACCCTGTAAGGTGCCAAGCTCCAGCAACAACACACCCCTGTCGTAAGAAGGTTGACCTTGGAGACATCAATAAGAAGGAAGTTGCTGGGGACCAAACAAATGACCAAACCAAGAACCAAGGCCCATGCTACTTCCCAGTTGCTATTTTTGAAAAATAAACAGAGGTTTCAATGACCCATCTGCAGGGGTCCCAGCCCAGAGACGCCCAACTCCTGTGCTGTTGGTTTGTTTGCTCAGTGGAGCCCTTGCCTTCTCCTCTAACCTCATCTGCCCAGCAGGGTCTGCTGGGGTGGGGCATGGAGGCAGGCCCCGTCTCTGGCAAAGTGGGGGGGGGGGACAGGGAGCAACCTTCTAGTGAATTCCTGGGGGTATCCCCATCACCTGTACCCCCACTCTGCAGCAGGGGCAGCCCTGGAGCCCAGGCTGCCTCGGTGCCTGCATCCCAGGTCCCCGGCCTTGGTAAACTCAGCCACACTCCGGATCCCCACCTTTGTACTTCCTGGGGAACCTTCACACCTCCCCGGCAAAGTCAACAACCCTCTCCTCACTTTAGGTTTTCTAAACATCTTGGGACTCCGCTAGGCTGCTTCTGTAATTGTCCGTTCTTAGGGGGAGCGCCAGGAGCGCCAGGGTCGGTGGGCCTGTGTCACCCCTTATCTTAGCCCAGGGACTGCCTGGCGGGTTTGAATGGGGGGGGGTGCGCCCCGCGGAACCCTGTCCCCCAGGTCGATCTCGGGTGCCATGCCATCATTTCCCTCCCAAAGGAGCCACTGGGATCTCCCCGGACCAGGCTCCTTGCCTGTGCACCCGAAAAGGGATTCGGGGCCACTGCCTGCGCCCTCGGGAGGCCCCGGCCCTGTTGGGCTCCGGCTCGGGGCCACCGGCGCGCAAATGCCCGAGCAGGAGCAGTGCCCGCGGCCACCTGCAAACAGGGCGTCTGTGACGTGGCCGCACAAGCTGTAAGCCGTCAAGCAGTTCTCCCGCCGGGCCGCTGGGGCAAGGTGCCCAACGCCTGGCCGTGCGCTCGGCCGCCCGGCCGCTGGCCCGAGTCCGGC